AACACTACCCATACCCAAGCGCCTTGCCAGTGAGACGCTTACACCTATAAGAGTAAAAGCCCTAATAAATATTCTCTAGAAAAATTAACTTAAGTAATTAAATTAATAAAAAAAATTACTAGAGTTAAAATTCTCTATATTTATAGAAATATATTAAATATCTTTAAAAATACTAGCTATATATACTTACTATTTAGTATAGAAATTATACTAAACCTTATTAAATAAAGTTAATAAAGAACTAAAATATAAAAATATTAATCTTAAATTATTATTTATATTTTCCCTAGAATTATAAGATTTTTAAGATATATTTAATCCCTAAAAAGTAAAAAAGCTATTACTATATTAATTATATAATTATAATATCAAGATTTAAGAAAAAAAATAGCCCTTATTTAATAAATTATATCTAATATTATAAGTATAATTAATTATTTTAAAGGAATAATTAGAAAAGAATCTAAAAAAAGATTTTATATATTTTAATTTATTTCTAGTTACTTTTCCTATCTTATTTATTAATAAACCTAGAGATAGCCTCTACCTATATATAGATTATTAAGAACTAAATATTATATTAATTAAGAATTACTATTTCTTACCCTTAATTAAAAAACAGGTTCACCTACGGAAACCTCACACCTTTACAACACTCAGCGACCCAGGGGTACCTTTGAACAAGGGCCCAAATTACTATAAAACCAACTAATATATATATTTCTAACCTACTATTACATATTCTGCCCCTCCCCCCCTCCTCTAACTATGTTTCAACGCGTGGCAAGCTAAGATAGAGGTGCTGACCCCTAACTACCTGCCTAGAGATATTAACATAGCTAATTTTATATAGCTATAGGAATCTTTATCCCCCTTAAACTTGTATACTGCTAAAAGATATAGAAAAAAGAGTATCTTACTAAACTACATACCTCCCCTAGTCTATAAAGGTGCTAGCGCCTTAACTACTAACCCAGGCTCTGCCGCGAGAACCCTTTAGGGTTACCTTGATAAGGAGGAATACTAGGCAAAGACATGTTATAAGGTACTAGCTAAGCTAGCTACTATAGTAGATAAGCTTGTTAATATCTAAAAAAGTTAGAATAAGAGGGCCTATATAATAATAATCTATAATAGATTTATCTAGTTTATTACTATTAAGAAGTATACTACTATAGATAACTATATACTCATGCATGTATATAGCTAGCCTATAATAATAATATTAGTAACCTCAGGCAAGACCTCTAGTAAGTCTATAGCCTGGAGAGCCACGCAGATCCTGAAAAACTTAGGGAGAGGACCTATACTAGCTAGAGTATATAATATCAGGTAGTCTATACCTGATTTAGGTAGGACTAGCCCTACCACCATGATAAGGTTAGCCTGAAGTAGGTTAACCATATTAATAAATGCTAGGGATAACTATAGGGTCCTAATTATCTTACTAGGGAGGCTCCTTCTCGCGCGCCCTAAGGCTTATATAATATACTAAGCCCTAGTAAAGTATATTCCAGGGCTTATAACTATTAGTATAATACCTAGGATTAACCTAACTAGAACTAGATAGGTAGTTATTCTAAGCAACCTTACTACTTGGGACCTTTTAATAATAAAGGAGGTAATAAGTATTATAAAAAAAGTACTAGATATAACTAATATCTATATTCTATAGAAGTAGTATAACTACATAGTATCTAGGGTGCCTAGTATAGTAGTATTCTATAATAATATGCGCCTGGAGATAGATATATTAATAGTAAATAAGATACTGGTATAAACAGGCATAAAGCTAGTTAACTACTACCTGTTAAGGCATAGACTAGATATATAGATAGGATGTATAATCTAGATAATCTTCTTCCTAATACCTGCTAAGAACTTTACCCTATTTAATAATAGCTAGTAGTCCTAACTTATCAAGAAGCAGGCCCCTATAGAGTAGTATAATCTAGAATATTAGAGATACTACTACCCTTTAAGGTATATAAGATAACCCTACTATACCTAGTATAGTATACTAACCAAGGACTATACTAGGCCTATAGAGCTAAATTATAGTAACCCTCTTTATTATGCTAATTACTTTAGACTATTTAAGATAGGGCATGAGAGCTACCCTATAGCCCTATATAGGATTAATAGTTCTCTTATTAAACTATCTAAATAGGACCTAGTATATATTAGGTACTATAGGATATGCACTTTCCAGGATACTTATAACTAGATAGTAGTAATAGTATAGCTATATATAGAGATAGGCAGGGCCTAACTCTTAAATCCCTATAAGCACGTGGTAGAAGCGCCCCTATAGCTAGATATAGATATAAAAGGCTTCTAGATTATAGGATAGTACTTAGCCCGGGCTACTATATATACAGGTAATATAAATCTAAAAGAGCTCTCTATCTAGAGCCTCTATATCTTCCTAAGTTCTAAGCAAGTAGCAAGTGCGTGGACTCTAGAGATAGAAACTAATACTAATAGATTACCTGATATCTAATATTAGGGAGACCTAGGATAAGATATAGTAGGAGCTATATAGGACAAGCCTAGTACTAGTAAGATCTCTTAATCTACTAGGCTAATATTAGTAGATTAATACTAAATTATGCTATAATCTTGTAGCTAGCCTATAAATAAGGCTATATTATAGCCTGTATACAGGAGCTATGGACAGGCCTAGAAACTAAAATATAGAACTATCTAGTATTTAATTACTACACCCTAGTTAATAGCTAGGGGGACCTAGAGGAGTAAATAGAGGAGTAACCTAGGATACTTATATATATATACTAGGACCCAGGCCTAAAAATAGAATAATATAGACTAATTAAGAGCTAGAACTTATTCTAGATAATAGTAAATAGTATTTAGGTATTAAATATATATTAAGAACCTACTATATATAAAGTAGTAGACTATATAGTAATATTAATCTTTATTCTTAATTATATTATAAGGAGTAACTTTAATATTATATATAATATTTTTAAGCTGGAAATATAGAATCTTTATAAGGGAGGAGAGCTTGTATAATAAATAGTTAATAGTAGAATAGAATATATAGGGGAACTAGAGGTAGCTATCTATATAGTAGAATATATTTTAGACCTAATCTTCTCTAATATAGTCTTTGCACGCATGGAGGTCTGCCCGGACCTGTATTATGGCTTAGACTATTAGATATAGGTTACTATGATCCTAGGGTATAAGCCTGTACCTCTAGAAAAGTAATAACTCCAGGTCCTAGATAAGGACCTGAAATAACTAGCAGGACTAGTATAGAATAGGATAATAGGTCTCCCAGATTTAGAAGGCCTACTAGATAGACTGGTACTAGACTAGTATATAGGGGATCTAGGGAAGATACTTTAGGAAGCTATTAAGATAGTTAGGAAACCTCCTAACCCAGGCTGGAGGACCACCCCCTAGTAGATAGCAGAGTGCACAGACTCCTATAGCAGGTAGCTAGTAAAGCCAAGTCTAGAAGAGAGGAAATATTTCTAGAATATAATTTAGAAGGCTAAATATTAATATTAGGCAGGCATTATTAATAGGGTTAGTAGTAATAAGGAGCTCTACTAGATTATAGCCTAGTATAAACTAAAATCTAGGATAAAAGTACCACCCCTTTAGGTAGATAGTTGCATAATTAAGGATACCTAGAAGAAGGTTAAAATCCTCTAGTAGGTTATTCTTAGATAATTTAATTTAGTAAATAACCTAGAGTTTAACTCTATAGTAAAAGCCTACTAGACTAGAGATAAGTACCTCCCCTAGGGAGGGAGGATATTAGAGAAGGAGGTTAAAAAAATATAATTAGGATAAGTAATATCTTCTCTAGGAAGGATATAATTATAGTATAAATTTTAAAAGCTTACTAGGAATTTATAGGTAAGGTAATATATAAGTTATATAATAAATACTTATAATTAAGCTACTTCCCCGTACTATAAAAGACTATAAAGGTAATTATACTCTTTAAGGTAGGTAAGCAGGATAGGATATCTTCTAGATTCTAGAGATTAATTACCCTACTATTAATAATTAGTAAAGGCCTAGAAAAGATAGTAGCCTGGAGAATTATATATATAGTACTTATATATAGGGTCCTAAGCCTATAATAGTATAGCATGCTTCCCTAGTACTTTATTATAGATCTAGTTACAGCCTACATATATAATATAGAAATAGTTCTTACCTAGAATAAGAAAGTAACTATAGTTATAATAAATATACTAGGGGCCTTTAATACTCTCCTATAATATAGATTACTAAGATAAATAGTAGAGTAGGGGTAGCCCTAGGCCCTAGTTACTCTTATTAATAGCTTCTTAACTAGCAGGCTTGCTAGAGTCCAACTAGAGATAATATTAATAGGAGTAGACCTAGTACTCTATAAAATATTATAGGGCTTACCTTTATCCCTAATTCTCTTTCTATTCTATATAATAGAACTACTCCTGCAAAATATAACTCTCTACTTTAAATATACTAATAATCTCTACCTAAGCTATATTACTTAAATACTAGAGAATAACTACAGGCACCTAGAGGCAAATATTTAGGGGGTGCTAGCTTAGGATAACTAGAATAAAATAGCTTTTATACTAGAAAAGCTAGAGATAATCTATATTATAAGAAAATAATATAAAAAGATACCTACTCTAAAGATTAGTAATTACCTAATAGTATAGCCTATTATAGAGATACTAGGGTAGAAGTAACTAGTACTTAAATAGCTAGAGGTATACTTTAATAAATAGCTCTCCTAAAAGAGATATATAGTAGAGAGGGCTACTAAAGCAAGAGTAATAGTATAATATATATAAGACCTAGCAAGGATAGTTTATAGCCCACCAGTAGCCTTACTATAAAAGACAGTTATTATCTATATTTTACCTAGCACGCTTTATAGCACGGAAGTATAGTATAAGGGCTATATAAAACTAGAATAATATACTTAGAATATAGAGATTAGTACCTGCTTAGACTAGTATATAGATATACTAGAGAAAATCTTGACCCTAGTTATTAAGGGGGTTCTCCTAGTCTATAGAACTATACTAATAGTAACTCTTTTTAGGGATACTAGCCTGCTATCTATAATAGTAGCCCTAGAGAAAGCATGCCTGCACTTCATACTTTATTTCTAACTAGTAGATAAGAATAACCCCCTAGTCAGGAGGATTAAGCCCCCGTGTATATAGAGGGATCATGGGGCAGGCTTACTTTAGAAACTAAAGATTAAGCTCTAGATAGTAAGGGCCCTCCTCCTGGCTATTTTCTAACTAACCCTAAATTAATTATATTATGCCCCAGGATACATGGTAGATCCTATAAGAGGGAAAGAAAAGAAGGAGGTAGTAGAGGCCTTTAAGATATAATAGAGGATATTACTAGCAAGAAATATAGTTATTTTTAATAATAAATTTAAAAGGAGCTACTAGGGCTAATATTATATAAACTATAGATATATAGTATATAATAAATATAGGAAGATTACCTATAGTAAGGTAGCTATTAACCTATAATTATATATATTTAATATAGAGTCTATAAGAACTTTCTAGGGCCTGGAGGTAGTTATTAGGATACTATCTAATACTAGCTATTACTAGCTATATATAAATAGTACTTTAGTAATATAGTATAGTAGGGAAGAGGCTATAATCTCCTCTTACTAGGCCTTTTAAGTACTATACTACCTAGTTAAAAAATATAGGGTAGAGCTCTGCTGGGCCCTGGGCCATGAAGGGATTAAAGGTAATAAAAGGGTGGACTAACTAGCTAACTAAGGGGCCTCTTCTAAGGCTAGGGGCCTAGAACAGGGCTCCCTGGAGGCCATACCTACTACTAGTAGGATTAGAATAATAAGCTACTAACTCTATTAAGAAGTGCAGGCCAACTAGTAGGTAAAGGTATCTCTAAAGCTATTAAGCTAGTACTAGTAATAGTTAATAGATAGGGCAGGAGTATATAAGATAGCCCTACCCCTAAAATTATATCTCTAGTACCTAGACTTTTACTACTAGCTAGTAATTAGATCCTTATATAGGGACTTTAGCTAGTACTATAAATATTTCTAGTACAAGGATACCTAGCTTACATACTCTTATAGTAGGAATAAGAGCCCTAAGTACCTAGTCCTTTACTATTATAGTAAGTAACTCTTTACCTAATAGCCCTAATAACTACCATGGCCCCTAATAACCAAGCGCAAGGTAATCAAGTATTTAAAGTAACTAATACTTAAAAACTTTACTATACTTCTAGCTACTACAGGGTTTTATAAGGATATATGCCCATGCTAGACTAATCTAGAGCTAACCTAGGACTAAGATGCCCTAAGCCAGGAACTAACCTAGGGTAAAGCAGAATATAAGACCTAGAGCCCTGTAATCTTCTCTTCCCCCTTTCTAATAAATATTAAACTAATATCTATACTCCCTAATCCTTTCTTTTGTTCCTACCATATCAAGTCTATCTTTCTAGACTAACTAGTCTTATCCTATACTCTTGTATATAAAGAAGGGCCTGGTGCCTGAAGATACCTAGGATAGTCCTGGCAGTCCCTAATAGAGATTACCCTATAGCAGCAGCCATATATTAGGATAATGTAGGGATGACGGCCCCCCCCCCTAACAGGAAGGGAAAGGCCCCTGCTCATGCTAGAATTGCCTTCTGGAATAGCACAAATATATACTATATCTATTTAGATAGATAGGTAGATAGATACGCCTACCAGCTCGGCACACCCCTATACCCCTAGGGAGGTTAGGAGCCTCAGGCTCATGCCCGAGGATGCCACGTGGCGTTAAGCAATACAACAACAACAACAACAACCCTTAATTAAAAAAATCCTAAATAATTTATAGGGAATATAATATTTCTTTAAAATTAATTTAGTAGCTATTTTTAATAATATCTATATTAAGAAGAGATTAGAATACCTAACTACTTTTTAAACCTATTTTAGGCTATATAAATCTTTAATTATACTATTTAGCCTAACTAGTACCCTAGTTATCTTCTAATATTTTATAAATAATATCTTATAATAATATATAAATATATTTTATAATATATTTTTAAATAATATTCTAATTTATAATTATATAAGAAAAAAATATATTAAATACTTAAAATAAATACTAAAAATCTTAAGAAATAATAACCTATATATAAAGATATTTAAGTATAAATTTTACTAGCTAGAAGTTAAATTTCTAGATATTATTATTAGAAGAGAAGATACTTATATAGATCTTAAGAAAATTAAGATTATAATAGATTAGAAGCTATTTAAGATAGTTATTAATATTAAGAGTTTTATAAAATTTACTAGATTCTATTAATATTTTATTAAAGAATTCTTATAGATCTTTATATTTATTATTATCTTAGAGAAAAAAAAAACTCTATTCTTATAAATTTTAATTTATTAAACTACTTTTAAAATACTAAAAATAAAATTTATTAAGGAATTAATACTAAAATTTTTTAATTAAAACTAATTAGCTATTTTAAAAATTAATATTTTAAATTTTATATTTACTAGAGTATTATTATAATATAATAATAATAGAATTTTATATCTAGTAAGATTTTACTTAAAGAAAATAATTTTAATTAAGTATAATTATAAGATATATAATAAGAAATTACTAGTAATTATTTATTATTTAAAAAAATAGATCCTAGAACTAAAAAAATATTAATATTTAATTAAGATTATAATTAATTATAGAAATTTAAAATATTTTATAATAATTAAGATATTAAATTAATAATAAGCCTAATAATTTAAATTTCTATCTTACTTTAATTTTATAATTAATTACTATCTAGGTAAGTATAAAATAAAATTAAATAATTTAACTAGAAGATTATAAGATTTTCTTAAGAAAAGAAATAAATATTTACTATACTAGAATTAAATAATATTAAAAAAAGAAAATTTAGTAAGCTTCTTACCTAAATACTTAAAGAAATTATAAAGTTAGTAAATATTATAATTAATCTAGTTTTAAGCTATTACTAGAAAGAAATTAGTATATTTCTAGCTATTTAAATCTAAAGAAAAAAAGATTATCTAGCTTTTTAAATAGCTAAAAGAGTACTTAAACAGGGGTTATAAATAAAATTTAATTTTTAATAATATTTTAGAAAATCTAGAAAAGAGTTATAATTATTATTTACTAATTATATTATTTAAATATATTTATTATTCTAGACTCTTATTTTATTATAATTAACTATATATTCCTAATATAAAAGAATTAAAAATAGAACTAATATATAAATATTATAAGAATATAATTACTAGTTATTAAAATAGATTAAAAATTTATAAATTATTATTATAATTATATTACTAGCCTAGAATATTATAATTTATAGAATAATAGATTTATAATTATTATATTTATAAATAATTTATATCTTATTAAAATAAATATTAAGAAATATTTTATTTCTTATTTATATTTAAAAATTTTTAAAAAAATATATTTATTAATTTTATTATATATTTATTTTAAAGCTTAAGCTTTAATATTATTATAGTAATAATTAACTAATTAATAAAATTTTAATATTATATTTCCTATAATAATATCTATAATATTAAGAAAACTACCTGTCTATTTTAAAACTATATTTAGAGATTTTATAGATTTCTTAAGTCTATTATATTTAATTAAGGATCCTAATTTATATTAATATTCTAAATATATCTAAATTATACTCTAAAAATAAGATTATTTTTATTTATTATTTATTATTTTAAGATTAATAAATAAATTAAATATATAAATATTATTTTAAAATAATATTTATAAATTTATATTAATTATTTATAAGATAATTAAACTAAATAATTATTTATAGTAAAATTTATTATTAATAATATTAATTTTAAAATTACTAGATATTTCTTATTTTTTATTTTATATAATTTTAATCTCTATATAAGATTTAAGCCTATCTTATTTAATTATTACTTATAAACTTATAATATTTATTAATTTATTCTAATTATAAAGTAGATATAAGAATATTACTATATTATTATAGTTATTACTTAAGCTTACTATAAATATTATATTAACTAGAAATATTACTCTATTAAATATTATATTAAAGGCTAATTAGTCTAATTAAATATTAAGAATATTATAATTCTATATTTTTAAAAAAAATTAGATTAGAAAAATCTAGGCTTTTTTTTTATTAAAAAGATTATTAGTTCTTATACTTATAAATTAGACTTATTTAAAAGTATAAAAATATATCTAATATTTTATATTAAATTATTATATTTAATTATTAAAAATCTATTATCTAGATAAAAGAAAACTAAACCCCTATATATTAAAATTAATAATATTAAGGAATAAAAGATTAAAGAAATAATTAATTTTTACTAAAATTATTATAATTAAGATAGCTACTTATATTTAAAGTATATTATTAAGTAGATTAAATATCTTATTATTACTAAAGTTCCTGCTAGCTATCTAGAGAATATTATTAAATATATTATTATTTATTATTATTACTACCCTAGAAAGTCTAGACTCTAGAAATACTTTACTAGAGCTTAGCCTAAGAGAGGGGATACTATTATAGTATAGTTATATACTTATCTAGTTAGATTCTACCCTAATTATCTACCTTTATTCCTATATTTAAGCTATATTACCCCTAATCTTATTATAGCTCTTCAAGCTATGTCCTTATCCTGACCTGACCCCTACCTATTGTACCTGTACGCAGATAGCCTGAATATACACCCTGCCATTAGCTACACCTACTGCCTGCCTGCTCCCCGTGACACTTAAGTATTAATAATATTAATAAAGAAAGTAAAGCTATATATAATATAAGAATAGTAAGAAAATATTAGAAATAATAAAATAAAGTACTTGCCTCTTAGTATTTTAGGAGATTATTATATTATTATTTATATTACTTAGTTAAGTTACTAGTATAGTATAAGTAAGTTAATTATTACTATTCTCCTGAATACCCTTGGTTACTCAGCATGTGGATCAGCATGTGGTTGCGTGTCACGTGGTCACCATGACACTTATCTCTTATTATTAAGATATAAATTTAATATAAATAAAATATTTATTACTTTTAATATACTAGTAATAAATATAGGGTGCTGCTATTCTCACAGCTCAGCTGGTCATTCTCACGGCACAACTAGCCTCTTTGGGCGTAGCGGCTCCACATCAGAAGGAACCTGCCTTTTTATAGAATAGTACTACCTAGCTAGACCTAAATAAGACTAGATTAGTCATATAATCATGAAAATATGCTAGAGAACCTTAAGGTATTATTTTATTAGTTTCTTATATAAAAATAATACTTAAGAATTTAATTTTAAAGTAATAAATAAGACTATATTTACTAACTAATTAAAAGGCTTTATTTAATTAGGAATCCTTCCTTTACTGCGTGCTAATCTGACTATTCCTACTTCCTCTAAGTAATTGATTCCCTACCTGCCTGGCTTGATACTAAATAACTACCTCTATTATATAATTACCCCTGTTCTGATCTATCATCATAGCCTAATTAGGAATCCACGTGATATCCTGCTAGACTACCAGGTCACGTGCATATCTATATACTAAAAATTAAGAATAAACCCTAACATGTGACCACACATAACTACACGCTAACTAGCGAGGACCCATAAACTAACTATGGTTAGTTAGGTACCCCACCCACTAACCTAAAAGGGCTAGCTGTGCCGTGAGAATGACCAGCTGAGCCATGAGAATAGCAGCACCCTAAATATATATTTAATAAAAATAGTAATTTTAATATTATTATTATTTATTATTTCTTTTTTAATTAGAATTAGCCTTTATATTAATAATATAAAGTAATAATAATAAATTTTAGTATAATAATAAGTAATCTTAAATAAAATTTTATTCTAATTAAATAAATAGCTTATTATAAGTAGACTAGTATAAGCTAATCTTATTATAGGTAGAATCTCTACCTATATTAAGAATTAATCTATTCTAGGGTTCTACCTACACAGAGTTTTTTTCTACCCATGCCGAGCTGTATCCCTGTTTTGGGGCATGCACTATGTAGTAAGAATTGGTATTCAGACTAGAATAACACTGATATTTTATTATGACAATTAAAGATATAATAACCTACCCCAGGACAATATTCAAGTATTGATTGAATATTTAATACAGCATACCTAAGAGATTATTTAAATAGCTTCATTTTTTAGATGGCTTAGTAATCTTATTATGATAGTTACAATCAATATGTTTTAGGGGATATAGCTTGGCATGGGTAGAAAAAAACTCTACATAGGTAGAATCCTAGAATAGATTAATTCTTAGTATGGGTAGAGATTCTACCTATAATAAGGTTAGCCTATGCTAGCTCTACCTATAATAAGCTATTTATCTAACTATAATAAGGTCTTGCTTAAAATTAATATTATTATATTAAAATTTACTACTATTACTCTATATTATTAATATAAAGACTAATTCTAGTTAAAAAAAAATAAATAAATAATACTAGTATTAAAATTACTACTTCTACTAAATATATACTTATTACTAGTATATTAGAAGTAATAAATATTTTATTTATATTAAGTTTATACCCTAATAATAAGAGATAAGCTTATTATAGGTAGAGAATTAATTTTCTACTTATAATAAGATTAGACCATGCTAGTTCTACCCATACTGAGGTCTAGAGTTCATTATAGGTAGAACTAGTGCCATGCTAGTTCTACCCACGCAGAGTTTTTTTCTACCCACGCCGAGCTATATCCCCTATGTTTTAGATTGTTGGGGTCCACAACCCCATTCTTCCACAAATTTAACCCTTGGCTCGCCATGCATGTGGAATTTATAGAATTCCCCATGTGAGCTGCTATATGTTTATATCTAGCCCGCTCCTTCGAATTTCACCCAGTGTCAGTGAGCTTTTCTTTTGTCTGACTGACCCTTTAATGACCACGCGGACCCCGGCTGAACAGATAGTCAAAATCAGGAAGAGCATACATGCCCGGACAGACACACGTCCCTTGCCTTCTCCTCCTTGTCGAAGCCACCTGCAGCTCCCCTGGTAGTTGCAAATGATGAAATGAAGATACAAGGGGCTCGAGTCAGCGAAGAGAGCTGGCTAGCCCATTTTTCAGCATCGCCTAACACAAAGGTATCAACTCGAGCCACAGCTGTGGGGCTCGGCGAATGACTTAAATAGCCAAAAAAAAAAAAATATCCAGTTTACTCTAGTTTCTTCTAGGCACCTAAAAGAGCAACAGCAGTGTATAAGAATCATATCGCATTTCACCTAAATAGGAGCTAAAAGCAAAGCTAGTTAAGGTAATTCTTTATTCTATTAATGGATTATAACTAGTTCTCCTTTTTAATATGAGCCTTGTCGATGTGCAGCAGTCGATACACGCTACTTCAACTTCTGTCCCAATGGAAATGTCCACAAGCAAGGAGGCAGCTCAGCTTGCATGGCAAAATTCGGCGTTGATTTGTTCACTGTATTATCAATTCCCCGGGGGCTGATAGGTAGACATTTTCTACCACATAAAGATCATGCATGCATGGATCAGTAAACAATTTGCTGTTGCGGTAAGTAAACCCTCGTGACCACTTCAATTCGATTAACGGATAATCCCATGTGATATTTGATATTATGATACAGACAAAAGGTTCCTTAAAAACACCGCATAGGCTACGTTTCCTTCCATGGGCCTGGTCGTAAAAGGCGATCTTCCTTTCCATAAACTCCAACATCTTTAACAATTGCGATGAATCTTCGGTGGTTTTCCCTAGACTCGCCGATCCGGGGCCGGAAAATCTTGAGCAGATCGGTACTGAGAATACCGCTGGGAGGAATGGCAGCATGAATCTCACCAGGTGTAGGAAAGCTTTGCACAGTCGACGGCCCTGGAGTTGAAATACGATTCTGACCTGTTTGAGTAAAGGTGTTAGCTGTATTAAAATACAAAACAAAATCTCGACGGAGATGACTGAGATGAACTGGGATGACCTGCCTCTTAGTGACTCTGGACTGCTGGCTCGGCTGCCAGAGAAACTCTTATTAGCCAGAGGAGTTGGGCTTCCGGCCCTTGATCCTTGTGGAGTTTCTCCCTGAGAGATAATGGAAAGCGGATTAAGCTTCAGCTTCTTAGATTTTCCGCTTTCACTAATCTCTCCGCCCGAGCCGGCACCCCCATCAACATCGCTTCCAGGGCCTCCGCTCCCAGGAAGGATGTTGCGCACACGTTTCTTACCAGCCTATGCAAAATCAGCATCTGGCCCAGTTTGGGCTATCATATGGGAACGACCTACCTGCATAGAAGATGTAGCCGCTGGAGACATAGGGCGAGAGCTTGGCTGAGGTGTGGGCTGAGAAGACGAGTGCTTATTCTTCCCCTTCTTCCGAGAAGTGTCCGTCCCACTGGCATCAGACACATTTGGAGACCCCAAGCGCTTCCGTGATGCGCCGGGAAGGGGCTTCTTCAATGGGTCAGCATGCTTGGGGCGTCCCGAAGGTGTGGTGTTGCCCTTTGAAGGTGTCGCGGAATCTTTCTTGTTCTTCTCTTCCTCAACCTTCCGTTCCTCTTCCTTGGCCTTTTCGGCGTCACTTTCATCGGAGCTCTAAGAAACCCGTGTGAGAAGGGTTCTGGCCAGCGTGGGGGAAATATACAAGGAAACATACCTCCTCATCAGTATACGGATTAGCATCGGACCCACTGCTATAGTCGTAATTCTTCTCTCTCTTTTGAAGCGCCTTGCGCACCTTCTTTCCAAGGACTCGTCGAGCTTCCTTCTCTCTTTTCTCTCGTAATTCTTCGTCCTCGTATTCTTTCTCGTCTTTTAGATCAAAAACATTTGCCTTTAATTGGTCCTGTTTTATTCGCTTTTCTGCGGCCTTCGCGTCTTCATCTTCGTTGAACAGATCGTCGTGTTCTTCATCATCAGCAAAGCGATCTTCCTCAAAATCCATCTCGCCAGCCTCCAGCCCCTCAACGCCAGCTGGGGTTCCCTGCTTCCCAGCATAAACTTTTCGTTGTTTTGCGAACTGCTCCAGCTCTTTTCGCTGCGCCATTTCCTGCTGCTTTTCCATGAACCATCTTGGATCCTTAATTTTCTTCGCCATAAACTTTTCCGCCTCTTCTATCGTCAACGCCTTGAATTGATTTTTTGCGCTAAATCTGTACCATTTTTCCACGGGTATCATGGTCATTTTCCCCGTATTATCCAGTATAAATACTGCATGCGTCTCCGATAGAGCTGCCTCATAATTTCCAGCCCAAATATTTTTATTATCGAAATCCTCCAGGTGCCAGGGCAGGGCTTCCTCGTATTTGATTCGCGTCCGAGCTAACTCCTCCGGTGTCATATCAGTCTTGGAGACCTGCTGTGTCTTTTGTTTGGGTACGTTGGTTCTCTTTGGAGCGGATCCAATGGACGGAGCGATTTGAGCAAGGTTATCCGCACGCTCCTTTTCGCGTGCAACCTTCCTAGCTTCCATTTCCTCGCGTTCAATCTCGTCTAGTCGGTCACTAGCTTCAGAGGATAGCTTTTCCGCGCCCTGCCCTCTGTCCGTGTTCATATCATGTAAACGCGCGCGTGGATCGCGGCGCTGAAGTCTAACAGGTCGAGTGAATTGGGATTCATCTCGGGGGTCAACTGCCCTTTTGGCCGCAAACCTAGCGATGTGATATTTTAAACCTTCTCTGATTGCCCGCTTAGTGGTGACCACAGGATAATCCACGTAAGTTTCAGATAGCAAAGGGCCACTAAATCCATTCGACGCAAAATCATTTTTGGGCAGTGCGAGCTTTCCTTTCTCAGGTTGCGGATTAAACGGGGCTGGTCGAGTAGGAAACGTCCTTGGTGCCGTTCCGTTTCCAGATGGTGGAGCAGGTTTTGGTACGGTTTTTCTTTTCGGGCGAACGAGCGGATCAGCTGCCCGTGGCCTGCGAATTTTCATGGGGGGTGCTCCATATGATCCTGTCGGGGTCCGCAAGCTCGAATCATTTGTAGGCGTCGTCATAGTGCCAGGAGGGGGGAACGTGCAGGAAACAGCTTCGATAATCGTAGGCAGTCTTTAATACCAGTAACCTCAATCAAATAGAATAGGTGGGGAGGTTAAAGGGTGTGGATGCCCTTGGGCCGGGAGATGAATGTTGTCAGTTTCTCTTGATCTCCTCAAAGATCAAAGAAAGGTGAGAGTGATGAATGAAGGAACAGCGTCAGGTATGGACAGTCCGAGCTGTGTATGCTTAGGTAAGCTTTACTTTCGCGCTATGTATTTACAACCACCAACACCACACACACAATTGATCAGACTTCCCACAAAACTACATAAATCCTAGGTACTTGAAAAAATAAAATAAATAAATCGCCGTCTTTGTTTAGTATACGTATTTTAGGTCATAGAATTTAAATATTTCTTTATCCCATCCATGCTGGGCCCCATCCACAAGTGAATGGTTAGTGGCTCTGCTTCTCCATCGGTCCCGCATGAATGATTGGCTTGGTAAAAACAACAAGCATCCGAATTATCATTTTAATATGCAGGTTTCCTCTTCTGCCAGACGGAAAATAACCTTATTCGTTTCTTTGGGAGGGGGGTTCGCAATCCAGACAGATCAAGGAAGAAGTGAGGCATAAGCGAGTAAAAACGCGTCGGGGTAAACCACTTCGACCAGTGATGGGGGGGGGGCTTAAAACAGCTCCACAACCTTCTGGTCCTCGTCTTGCTCTGGCAATGCAATAGGCTTGCCCTCACCTTCCTCATCTCGCATCAAAACCTGGACTAGTCTGTCACAGGCCTCTTGGACGTCATCATTGTCGACGCGTAAATGACACTCTCGGACTATTGGGTATACGTTGATGGATCGCATCTTATCTCGCCCTTCTCGTGTGGTAGTCAGCAAGAGGAGGGTTTCAAGATGTGTAACAATAATGCTATTGTCACTGTCCCTCTTCTTGTCGGGAGGTAGCAGCTGGAGGTCTGGCAACATATCTGCAGCCTCCTCTTCCGAAAACTCTTCTGGGCCCATGATCGGTAAGAGTAAATAAGGAAGCAGGTTTGCCTCTTCTTCGGAAAACAGCGTGGGATGAAAAGGGATTTCAAACGCGACATTTTTGATGGTCGACGCAACCCCCTTCCTCCGGATTGTGCTGTCATGCTCAGTAAAAACAGTGAGTTTTGTTACAGGGACGACCCCATCATAATCCTGTCTCGTCGTAAAATAGGCCCGTCCTTCTTCTGACTTTGATAGGTCGGCGAATAGATATGATAAGTAGTCATAATTAGCATGTTTGTTCAGAGAACCATCGGCGCCTTTGACAAAACAATCCATCAACTGGTCAATTGCGTGGGCAGAGTTCGACACGGATTCTGGGACCCGGCGTTTGAGGGTAAGGATTCTCTTCATCTTCTCCGATTTTCCTAAGTTGGCGAACAGCATTGAAAAGCTATCCGCATTCTGCTCCTTATTGCTCTGTTCCCGGGCTTGTAAGAATACTTCTTCAGGGCTGGAGCAATCATGTGTGTTCGGGAGAAAGTTCACTTACTGTGACCTTAAACAAGAGGTTCTCTAGAAAGGCATCATCCGAAGCAAGATTATCTAATATCTCCTTATCGGCGGAAAGGTTGACGAGTATTGTTAAAGCATTGCTAGCAATTGGCTGTTGAAATAGGAGAGAACGATCAACCATCAAGAGACTTTGAATACCATTGCCAATCCATCAATGACAGCTGCGTACTCACTGTATAATCTAGAACTAGAAGCTTGAGGTCACGAATCGGCAAGAGCTGGTGGCGTTTGAAGATCTCTGGCTGAGCCGTGGAAAATCCGACCAAATTTTCGCATGCTGCGAGAGACAATTGTTAGGATGGAGTAAGGCGATGGCAGATCATAAGGACCGCGCGGGGTTTATAACAACAATCCATGGGGCGCGGGGAAGAGACGAGTTACCAATTTGCCTGATAGGAGTATTCCCATGGTGGAGGAACTCAACAAGCTGAGACAGATTAGAGATGACCACCTTGTTGAATCGGCAAAGACTCGCCTACCTCTTCCAACTCCGTCTTCATATTTCAGTTCTCGGAAAGCGGGGCGCAAAGAAGTGTATGTGAGGGATTTTGCGGATAGACGAACCGCAGGCAGGCAGGCTGTGAGCTGTCTTGGATTTAATATATAATTGACCTGAAATGAAATGAATCAGCAGGTGGACTGTTGGATGGTGAGTAAGTAGAGAGGTACCTACTAGTTAAGCCAGGTAGGTGATTGAATTGATTACCTGAGGGGAGCGAAGACACTAGAAAGAAAAGAAAAAAAAAAGTAGCAGCAACAGAATGGTGGGGGGATTTGTCTTATCGATAACAATATAATACAGTCGGTGATCACCTGATGCCTGGTCCCACCTGACGCCCGATTTCCCCTTACTAACTGTTTTTTTAATAATTTTTAACAACTTATATCTTAACTAATATAGGTTTAATTAAAGCTATAATAGAAGTAATCAACTTATTAAAGATTAGTAATTTAATTAATTATACTAAGATTATAAAAGAGTTTAGTATTAATTAGATAATATTATTAAGATATTACTATAGGATATAGTATCCTAAAGATTACTAATATAAGTAATAGCAAGTTCTTACTAATTAATATAAAAAAGAACTAATAAACTATATTAATAAGCTTACTAAGTAAGGCCTTTTTATATCTTATAAAATACTTTAGAATTTTATAAAGAAAATTACTAGTAAGAAGTCTAGAAAATACTAGCCTGGGTACTTTATAAAATATTACTAAGATAATCTTATCTTAACCTATATAATAACTATTAATACTATATAAAAATAAGCTAATTCTATATATAAATATACTCTATATTTTAAATTATTAAGCTAGAAGATATAGTAATATAAGCTATAGTTAGAGAATATTTATAATATAAATAAGAAAGAATTTCTTATTAAAATATTAATTAAAGATCTTAGGATCTTCTTAAAGTAGAAATATATAACTAGAGAAGGGCTTAAATAATACCTATAAGATAGAAATTATAAGTAAATAATTTTAATTACTTATATTTATATTAATAAAATCTTTCTCTTACTAGATTTTATTTACCAGGCTTTTACTAGTAATATATAAGATTTCTAGCTTCAAGACTTTAATCCTAAGCTTTATTCTTACTTCTTTACCTTCTCTATAAGTAATTAGACTAATAATAAGCTAGAATATACTTAATTAACTAATATATTTAATCACAAGATTAAAAATAAGATATATAGATAATAAAGGTTTCTTATCCTTAATAATTATAGATCTTATCTTACTATAAAGTTTATTAATTACTATAATATTAATAAGATTCTATTAATAATATATTTATCTTATTTAACTTATTTACTATAATTACTTAATATTAGGATCTTTAGCCCTCTCTCTACTATTTATAGTAAGAATCTTAAGAATTTTCTATATAAATTAATAGGTCTTAATTATATTACTAAATAGGATTTCTTCTACCTTTTCTAGCTAGCCTAAGAACAGGCCTTATTAATAAAAAATATTCTTTTTTTATAGTAAACTATAGGGATATAACTGCTAAATCTAGAAATAATTCTAGTTTAATTTAATAAGTAGAATAACTTTAGGCCCTTCTTAAGTAATTCCTTATACTCTATTCTATAAGTAGAGGACTAGTAGAAGATTAAGAAATTTTTAAATTAAATTATTACTAATATATATAATAAAAATACTAAAAAATTAAGCTTAATAATATATTATTTCTTTATAAAGAATATTATTCTAAAACTATATTATTAAGGCCTTAAATTAGCTCTTTAGAATAAGAAAAAAAAATATTAATATAGGAAATTCTTATAATTTAAGCTTATAATTCTTAAAAATAATAGTATAATTTTTTACTCTCCTTAAAAGATTTAGTAGGCTTGTAATCTTTAAATATAGAAGGATAAAGCTATATAACTTATTAAGATATTAAAGGAGCAAGAGAAGGTCTATTAATAGCTTATTAAAGAGGAGAAATAATACTTGCTTAAAGAATAAAAAAGAAATTAAGTATTTTAGTAAGAATTATAGCTACTAGAGGTAGAGTAAAAAAAATAATAAAAAGAGAATATTTACCTAGTAAAGAAAGTAAATTACTAGCTTTAAAATAACTTCTAGTAAGTAAAGAAGTCTCTAAAAAAGATTTCTAAAACTTTATACTAGTAAAAATCTATAGAAACCAGGCTAATAATATCTATAGAAGTCCTAAAGGCCCCTCTAATAGTAAATTATTAAGGCTGCAAGATCTGGCTTCTATAGTACTTTTAGACTAATTAAAAACTATATATAAAGTCCTAATAATAACTATATTTATCTACTAAAAGATCACATGATAATAATAATTATATATGGTTAAATTACTTCATATTTAATATTGCTAGTGGTGGTGAAATCGGGCGTCAGGTGGGACCAGGCATCAGGTGATCACCAACTGTTGTCGGATATATGATGATCCTAGGGGTAGCTCAATGGAAGCAGGTGATCGGATATATTGATGTGTGTGTCTGTTGGGGGGTTGTGTGCTTGCCTAAGGCCTTAATATAGGGTAATAACCCCCCTTTACTTACTAAGTACATCACAAGATATCCCTTTAATTTAACATACCCCCTCAGGTTCAAAGGATTTTATCTAGTTTAAATCTATAATTATATAATTTAAGATACTATCTTTATTCTAGATAGATTTAAACTATATCTAGTAATAGGTTATTTATTAACTTTAGTCTCTCTATTATTCCCAAATCCTTTATAAATACCTTAAAGTTTTAGTAGGGTAGTATCTTGGTTAATCTATCTATAATTATCTTAGTAATAGAATAATATAATACTTTTATTCTTCCCTTCTAGATTTCCTACCTAATCTAGTAATTATAAATATCTATATAGTATAACCTTATATTTAGGTAGTTAATTTCCTTATTTACTAGTTAAATAGTTTGCATGTTATTATATTAAATATTAATAATTAGATTCTCTAACTCTACCTAGATTTTATCTAATAGATACTTAGTAAAGATTCCTTCCTTTACTATATATAATAATACTAATAATTCTATTTTAATTATAAAGATTATTATAGTTACTTATTTGCTAACTTTCTATCCTATTATATCTCTAAATAACTTTATAATATACCCTTATAAGCTTCTCTAGTCCTGATTATCTATAAATAAGGTATTACTATATAATAGGTAGTTATCTAAATCTTTAAGTTATAGGGTAAGTTTATTTATTCTTTTTAGATATTATAGATATTAATCTACTTTAGTATAGTATTCTTTACTAGGATTTATGAGGCACTAGAATAACTAGGATACTATAAATATAATATCTAGTTAAGTTATAATTATTATATATATTATAAATCCTACCTTCTATTAATATTATTAAGTATATAAGCAAGATACTCTATCTTAATTTTTCTAGGGTACTATTTTTACTAATATAGGAGTAATATCTAGACCTTCCTTTCTATCTACTAGATTAGTAATCTTATTAATATATACTAACTAATCTAGCTAGATAAGCTTATTCTCTCTATCCTAGATAATCTCTATTCTTAGGAACTATTATAGGTTATTTCTTCCTATTATCTTAAACTAGTCCTAAAGCTCTTATATAGTGGCCTGTATTTATATTAATAATTTTTAATAATAGGTAAATATAATATTATCTATATAAAAGAATATTAGGATCCTATCTCTAATAATATAATATAATTTATATAAAATAGGTTTATATCCTAGTAACTTTAAGACCTTTTAGAGAGTTATCTATTATAGGTAAGGGAATTATTTAAGTTTATATAATATTTTCTTTAGCTTTAATACTTTATTTAGTTTTTAATATTTTAGAGGTATTTTTATATATATTTTCTTATTATTATTTATATTAATAAATATATTTATAATATTATATTACTTTAATTCTAGATTAAATTAGGCTATTATTACTAGGAAGGTTTAGAGAAATCTTACTACTAGAGTTATAATATATAGATTCTTTATTAAATTCTCTTATTAATCTTTTCTTACTACTAGGCATGCTTTATATTTAGTTAGGTTACTATCTTAATTATTTTTATATATATATACTTATTTATATTCTAATATTTTTATATACTTAGATTTATCTACTTCTACTTATATTTTTATTATTTTATAGCTAGCTAGGTAGTCCTACTCTATCTTTATAAATTCTTTAGATAGTAAGTAGTTTTTAACTTAGTAGTATATCTTTAGAAGGGTTAGTAACTAATCTAGGTAGGTCTTAATTAAACTCTCTAGTTACCTATTCTATTTTTATATTTCTATCTTAAAGGCTAGTATTCTATCTTATTAGGTTAGTTATATTAACCTCCCTGCTATGAATACTGATTTCTATGTAATTTAGTAGCTTCTATTTAACTTAATTTCTTCTTTAATTTTAACTATCTTATATTAGTAAGTACCTGCCAATATTACTGCTAACTATTCTAGGCTGCTACCTAGTAGTATTAGATAGGCTATTTACTTATTTATATTAGTATTCTTATCCTTATCTATAGCTTTAAGTACTGATCTTAATATTTAAACTAGATAATTAAGCAAGTTAAAATTACCTTCTAGAATATTCTCTATTATAGAGTAATCTATATTTAATACTCTCTAGATTAAAATATAGGTTTTAATTTTAATATCCTTAATTATTTATTTAAATTTATTAATTTTAATTATTAGAAAATTATTTTTTATTATTTAAATAAATATATTTTTATTTCCTAAGAAGAATTCTTTTTTATTAAATATAATATTTCTTATATAGATAATTTTCTTTTCTTTCCTTAGGTTCTATATTTAATAGATATTAGTAGATTTATATCTTATTATATATTCTATAAATACTCTTAGGTTAAACTACTTTCTATACTTTACTATTATAGTTACTTATAATTTAATTATTATAAATATCTTATAACTATATATCTTTAGGTAAGCTCCTTAGGGTTTCTTATATTTTACTACTACTCTATCTTAGTGGGTAATATAAGTATAGAATTAGTTAATTAATATTTTTTATCCTACCTAATATTTAGGTATTTAGTTATATAGATATACTACTATATAAATATATTCAGGCTATAAAAATATAGGTAGTTTTACTCCCTATTTTATTATATATACCTTCTCTTTTATTACACCCCCTAAGTACTCTGCGCCTCTATTTTAGGCTAGTATATATAGAATAGAGTAGTCAAGTCTTGCTCTTTTAGATTATATAAAGTTTTCTAACTATCTTTTTATCTTACTATCTAACTTAATTATTTAGAGTTTAATATTATATTACCTCTCTAAGAGGGTAAATAAGTTAAGTAGGATATTTTTAATTATCTTTATATATTAGTCTAAGAAGTAGTAATCTTATATAAAACCTAACTACCTATCTATAACTAATAGTAGGACTTAATAATTATCTATCTCTATTTTAAAGTTATAAAAGTTAATTACTAATTATAGATCTAGTCTTTCTATAGTAATATAGTCCTTTTAGTTAATTTTTTACTTTATTTTTGCTATACTATAGGTATTATATTCTATTATAGTAGGTCCTCTAATTCTTACCTCCTTAGTATTCTTAACTAGATAATCTAATACCTGTAGTCCTAGATATCTAAGGTATAAATACTACTATTTTACATCTCTAATACTAGTAATAGTTTAGAATATTACCTAGCCTATTATACTATATAATTTACTATTATATTTTATTATAAATTAGCTATATTTCTTATTAAGATAGGCTGCTACTATACCTTTAGATATATAGAGTAGGTTAAAGTTAGGATTATTCTTAAAATAAATACTTATTTAATTTAGTAATATAAGTAATACTAGGTTGCATGCTATTTTTTTATAGTAAGCTATATTTTTAAGGATTATATAGTTATATTTTATATTTTTATTTTTTTAAATTATAACTTATATACTAATATCTTTATATCCTATAATAGATATTTTCAAGTCTCCTGCCTATATATAGTTATCTTATATTAATTCTATATATTACTTAAATTAATATAAATTATTAAATATATAAATTAATAATCCTAAGTTAAGAATAATAGAGTACTATAATAAGTATAATATAATTTTAAATTAGGTATTAAATAAAGCTTTAACTTTACTTTTATTCCTATCTTTTATTTAATCTACTCCTTAGTTACTTCTTTCTTCTAGTTATTTTAAGTCTTGTTTATTTTATTCTTGCTCCTTTACTACTTTTTTAGCTAGGGCTTTATTTATCTTAAGTTATATATTAACTAGCTTCCTTATTATATTTCTTTCCTTGAAGTCCTTGGGCGCCTTTTCTAGGAATAAATAAAAGTATTATATTTATTTATATCTTTAAGAATATATATTATATAATTAATATAAGTTCTTAAAAATACTTCTTTTAAAGTCTATTTTTCCTATACTATTATATCTATATTTATATTTTATTCCCTTATTCTATAGCAGGGATATTTCTTTATTACTAGTTATGTCTATTATATCTTTAATAGTAAATATTAGTTTAAAAGCTCCTCTATTAGTCTTACTATACTATTATAGGAATGCATTAATAGTATTATAGAAGTTATTTACTATAGTATAGAATAATAGTATTCCTGCTAGTATCTTCTTCTTATAGTCTGATTAATAGGATATAGTCCAGGATAGAGCTAGGTAATATATTATATTTAGGAAGTTTTTTACCTAGTTTAGTAGTAATATTATAACTTTAAGATTTACTTTAATTACCTGTTAAATAGCAAATTCCTAGTTATTTAACTAACTAACTAGGTTACCTTTTAGGGGTTAGATTACCTTTATATAGGTATTATAAGCTATATTTTAAATTTATCTTTAGTTAACTATTATATACTCTTTTAGTTTAAGGTACTACTTCTTTAGGGTTTTTATTAGCTTGTAGTAGAAGTAATAGATTTTTAGAGAAATAGTATATTAGATCTAATTTTTTAGTTTCCTAAGTTCTATAACCTAATAGTTATACTTATTTATTTCTATTTTATAGAGTACTACTTTAGAGTTAAAGTTTTATAATAATATTATAGAATTCCTAGTACTATTTACTAGTAAAGTTTCTCTACTATTCCTAATTAATTTAATAAGTTATTATAGATAACTCTTATTACTTTTTATTATTTCTTACAGATCATTATCTCTTGCCCGTGCTTTGAATAAGGATTGCCCTATTAGCTAGTCTTCCTACTTAGTAAGCCTTACTACATTGTCTTTATTATTAGTAGTTAAAGGTATTGTGCTTAGTATTTTACTAATTAGTAGGTTTAATAGGGGTCGTCAGTATTTTAATAATTAGTAGATTTTAGTAGGGATTGTTAGTATAGATTCACGTGCTTTGAGCAAATATAAGACTCTTAATTGTTAGATATATGATGATCCTAGGGGTAGCTTAATGGAAGCAGGTGATCAGATATATTGATGTGTGTGTCTGTTAGGGGGTTGTGTGCTTGCCTAAGGCCTTAATATAGGGTAATAACCCCCCTTTGCTTACTAAGTACATCACGAGATACCCCTTCAATTCAACAACTGTATAATGAGGAGCGGGTGTCTGGTAGAATATTATTAATACCTTTCTTTCTAGTTAACTAACTAGTTACAGAAGAAGACCATCTTCTACCTATAGAGATATACTTCTATTTATTGACTAGAACAAAAGTTTACATGATAAGCTTATAAAGAAAGACTCTTTCAGGGTTAATATTATTTTGTCCTCGGTCCGTGGTCATTTATTGGAGGTGTTAGGTGTCACCCAGGTAGTTCTTAGGGAATCAGCTGGTCATAAATTAGAATAGCTTGTATTCTGTGGTGACAGGCAGCAAGGAAGGGTGCTTTTTCCCTCTCGTGTAGAAATGCTATACTCTATCCAAGTGAAGAGTATGTATTGAAATTATGCCTTCTTGCATAGGGAGTGGGGAAGAGAGTCTAAGCTAAATTGGCGGTAAATTACTTTCCTGAGACTGTCCGTTTACATCCACCTCCCGATCCAGTGCTAATATATATATACATAGGCATACTATACGTATACCTTATGTATATATATCTCTCTCCCTCTTCGAGCTAGCCACTTAACTACACCAACCCCACGGCTATCCCCAACCATGAGTGCAGAAACCTCAATGGATAGCAATAACAATCCACTCAACCTCAATGAAATCTGCGAGACCCTCATTGAACTAGCCTTCAAAGCTGGAGCAATCATCACTGGGGCTTTGCCGGGTACAGACACTACAGGGTCCAAGAAAAACAGTATGTATAGTGGTATCCCACGATAAATCTTTGAATTTAAAGAAGAAACCCCACATTGTTGATAGGAGACACTAGGCGCAGATCTTGTGACCGAATATGACCGTGCAGTCGAGGAGATGATACGTATCGCACTGCAGGAAAAGTACCCGGATTTCAAGTACGTGATGTGATGGCTCAAACATTTGGTTAATACCCATAGGAGTGGGTACCAACAGGGTTTCCCTGCGATATACCATGCCCCTAGGCTCTTCTATCCCTCACTGCTAATACTGTGTGTCTTTGGGGGGGGGGGCTCCCCTTCGTCTGCAATTCAGGTTCTATGGGGAAGAAACGTATGATCCGGCGCATCCATTGACAGATGCGCCCACGTTTGTCATTGACCCTATTGATGGCACAGTCAACTTTGTGCATGGGTTTCCGCATGCTTGTGTTTCGCTCGGATTTGCAGTCAACCGTGTACCGACGGTAGGCGTGGTTTTTAACCCGTTTACCGAAACTCTCTATTCGGGTATTCGTGGCCAAGGTGCATTCTTGAATCGCAGCACTCGGCTTCCACTCAAGGGAGCCAATCTTGAACCCTTAACTGGGCTGCAAAATGCTCTCATTAGTGTCGAATGGGGGTCAGAACGATCAGGAAAGAATTGGGAAACAAAGATAAGGACTTTCGAAAGAATTGGACGAGATAGAAAGGATGGTGGCGTGATGGTTCGGGCCCTGCGCAGCATAGGATCTGCGGCCCTAAATCTCTGTGCTGTTGCTGCTGGGACTCTTGATCTGTATTGGGAGGGTGGCCCTTGGGCTTGGGACGTCTGCGCCGGTTGGGTTATCCTCGAGGAAGCTGGCGGGATCATCGTGGACGGAAACCCAGGAGATTGGGAAGCCAGGATTGATGGAAGAAAGTATCTCGCGGTGAGGGCAGCACCCAACAAGGATGGCCAGAAAGAACTCATTGAGGAATTCTGGGATTCCATTCAGGGCCGACTTGAGTACTGATTTAAACACATGCTTTGGTTTTCGTACTGTTTCTTGAACGAACAGCGACTTGGAAATTTAGGGTATATAGCCAACGACTATCTATTCTACAATTGCCCCAGTATACAAAAGCTCCTGGGCCGTATATTCTCCTGGAATATTCCACCACCTCAAAACCTCCTCTCCTTGAAAAAAATCTATCAGTAGTATTAAAAGTATTCCTCAACTCGTCCTTATTAGAGATGGTCAGAAATGACCCCATTGCAGGTAGACGGGGAAGATTTCACGATTCCGCCGTCTCCCTGGACATCCTCATTGCTCCCAAGTGCAGTCGGCGGGGTAATACTCCCCATAAATCCCGCGGGGCCTTCTCCCGAGCTGATTGGAGACGTCGAACCAAAATGTGTGTCAACAAGGTGTTTCACAACCGGCCAGCCATACGCGTTGGTAAACATTCGCCGAACAATAATATTATTGTGTGCATCAGGTTCGAGCCGGACGAGAACCTTTCGCCAGGATAATTTCCGGTGGTAAGCCCTAGCAATTTTCTCCTCAACTTTGAGGCCAGATTCACCTAGAGGTTCGTCTGTAGAGATAGGATGTGCGGTTGAGCTTCCACCTTGAAAGGAATTAAAGGTCGAGGCCCGTCGTTTAGTAAATGGAGGAGGAATATCCTCGGGATAATAAACCCGATCATGGAAAATAGTCCGGGGTCGTGACGCAGGGTCAACAATGAATTCAGTGGGCGGCAGGGGCGGCATCAGGAGATCACTCGCCGACTCAAAGACTGTCGTCTTCGGAGGTGGTTGGAATCCATAATCATCGGCACAATCCCCGTCATGGAAACCATTCTGTGGATCTATACCTGTGGGAGATACCGTAGCAAGAGTTTGGCTGCGCCTGAGAATTTTGGCTTGCCTATGTCCAGAGCCAGCTGACTGCCGTAATCTGAACATCGAAAATAAACCACTAAGAGGGCTGGACCGAATTTGCGGGCTTTTCTCGTGTGTTTCTGTGTTCGTGGGAGTATGGTTTCCCTCGAGTGGGGATTGAGCCTGGTCGGAAGACCCATTGTCAACCAATGAATCAGAGGGCAGGGAGTTTGTATCAATAGCTTGTTGCGAGATCGCCGTTAGTGAAACTCTCTCGACAAGCCCTGTAACTCTTTCCGTAGTCTCTGTCACTTCAAAGTCTGTAGCTGGGCGAGAGGTCTTGGGGGACTTTGAATTTGCACCAGTTAATTCGGCCCATCCCCATTCAGCCATAGTCCCAACAATTCCATTCTCTCTCCTCGCCTTTTCCACTCTGTCTAGCCCTTTCCAGTCAAGAAAGAGAAGGCACGACGTCCGCAAAGGAACTATGCCATCGTTGACCAGATTAGAGTATACCGTGCGATGCTTGAACTTGGAAAGCACATCATGGGCAGGACCACAAGGAAGAATTCTTAGCAAAGGTTTTGCCCGTGCATCCGCGCGACTCTGGGATTTTGATGGTTCTCCTTTTCCGCCGATTATAGACTCCCACCCGCTTCGTACCCTAGGTGCCGTCCAGCTAAGTCCCAAATCCTGGCCAGTACGACCAACGAGGCCGAAATCCAAAGCAAACCTAACGTACATCGGATTCTCGTTACTGAGGCCTAAGAAAGGAGTTGCCAAGGCAATAAAGTTGATTGGCCTTATTTTGTCAAAAAATTCAGGGGAGTATTTTTGAATATATGCAATAGCGTATGTTTGAACGAGGCCCCCAAGAGAATGGCCAATGAAACTGATGCTCGTTATTTGGTAGGCATAGTGCTCATCCAAGTTCAATTGCTCTGGGTGAATATTTGACGAAGTTTGGGAGAAAGCATCGGACGTAGTAGATGGCTCCCCTGCCGTTCCTTTCCAGGAAGTAAAAGGACCAGTAAACGTTCTAGCCTTTACCTTTTTACGAGGCAGATGAGGCTGGTCCGGATAGGTCATCAGGAGAACATATTTCGCAAGACGTTTCCCCAGGTATTGAATACCACGCTCAGTGCGAGCAGCATTCCCTGGGAACCCTCTAACAATTACCTGCTCATCTTCACAGTCACAATTGTCACTATCTTTTGCACTGTAACTTCCACCAGTAGAAACCAATTATATCGTCAGTACGGAGGACAAAATATTAAAGCAAATATGTGGAGAGTTACGGAAAAGCCTGAATTTAGACGGGCTTACCTTTGCGAACATGCCATACTTACTGCCTGATCGTCTGTGCGCGCGTGCTGCTTTTTAGCTCGTTGAACTGCGGCATCAATGCTTTCTTTGAGATAGAGCATATCTGCGCCGAGATTGCTATGTAACCCGTGAGTTAACACTACGAGATGGATCTTTTTGCGCGGTTTGGAGGGTGTAACGGGTGCGGAATTGTCAGTTATCCCTGGATTTAAAGCACCTGGCTCGGTAAATTCGGTGCGTGATGTTTTGTTATTCTTATTCGCTTCCTCGCAGCTCAGGACTGGAAGGCGGGGTGTGTTCCAAAGACTAGAGGTATCATCTACCAGCAGCTGAACAGAGTCAGAAAATACTCCTTTGGTGGCAAGAACTTGCTCGCCTCGGGTACCAGGGGGCCAGTGATCAAGTAAGCTGGCAGCCTTGGGGCTTTCGAGGAGTCCACTTGAGGACAAAGACTCCAGCGAGCTTTCATCGCGACCAACTAGAACCTCGAAATTTACAGATGCCGAATTGGAAAAAACGACCTGGGAAACAATCTCGATGACCCACGTTACGCTTTGCTGATTGTGCGATTGGGAGGTGGGAACATGGCCCCGATCTTGCGAGGTTTCTCTTGTAATAGGAATGATGGCGTTCCATATCCCACCGGCTTTGAGATAGGGTTCAAACTGGGGGCCGACATCAGCATCGACCAGATCAGACTTTATATTCGGATCGAAAGAAGACGGGTAACAGGCGGCATAGAGTGTGTATGGGCCGTGTAGATACGCCGCTCGTAGTGGAATTGCCGATGTGTTTTTTACTTTGACATGAAGCGCAGTTAGGGAAGGTTGGACGCCATCGACTGCCGGAGTATATGTCAGGGTATATCTATTGCGATATGTTAATTTTCCCATTAAGAAACTGAGGGAGGGTGTCGAAGCGAACCTCACAACCTCGCCAACCCGTACGCTTCCGGTTTGCCGAATCAGCAGCATGTCACTCGCCAATTTTGCATCTGTTGGGTTTAGCTGCCAGCCGGAGAGTGAATAAAACTTCGGCCAAGTAGAACGAGTGAAGGAGATAGGGGCCCGGTCACGCGTTTGTGAAGCCGAATATAGTCGAGGAGTTACAAGCATCGATTCTTAGTGCACTTGCCATTCTACTTTCTGCGATCCACTCTGGGGCTTAGAGAAAGCGAAGGTTGATGAAACATTTGAGCAAATAGTAATCGAATTAGACAAAATCAGCCTTGCCACGTGAGATCTCGTGTGCTATTTATGTAGTCATAAAATTGCGCAACTTGCTAATAGCCGTCTTGTTCCAAGGCCTCGCTGGGCTATATCCAACGGCGTATTAGCCCAGGTGGATACCAATTACTAAGGATATTGTATTACCTGGGTATTATATTGTATATTATCCTTATCTCAAGGAGACGTGCTCGGAGCGACCGAAAGGTTCAAGGCGTTGGCGTATTGGGCGTTGGGAAGTAGAATTTTGTTGGGTTGAGAGTTTTGTGTATGCTTTCGGAGATTGATATGTACCATCTGTATTTAGTTAGTTAGTAGTTATATGACCAGGCCATTACCAAGATTGCGAGGTTGGTTCTGCGCGGCTATCTCCTAGGGTCTGCTGCTCCTTACACTTAAATTAATTACGCTCGGCCAATATTAATTATTAAGATCTTCTTGGCCGCTTACTAGGTTGATTGTAATCTAATTTCCCATACTTTATCGATAATGATTCTAAAATATGCCCTTTACTCTTGAATACCAATGTGGTTGGAAGGTTCGGATATCCGGAAAGATTACCCACCAGACGGTATTTATAGCTATAAGGAGGACCCCAAGTTCTATAGAATAGATAATTTAGTGTTGGAGTGCTGGATTCGGGGAATACCAACATCACCACTAAGCGAATAGCAACACGTGATCTGTTGTATTTAGGCTACCATTTCTTCCCAGACCTTCATGCTTCCTCCAAGCATCTATCTCCTTTCTAGTTTAGACCTGAATTCAATTTAATTTGGTCAAATATTTTAATATTATAATTTAATAGCCTTTATTAGGTTATAAGCCCTCCCTAAGGTTCTATTTATACTTTATAGATCTTAAAAACTTTTATAAAAACCCCTATATTAGAGATCTTCTACCTAATTAGATAGAGATTCTAGTAGATTACCTAGTATTATATTACCGTATCTAGATAAAAAATATAATATAAAACTAGTAGAAAAGTCTTTATAATCTAATTAAAATAGTAATTAAATCTATCTCTAGTAATTATCTTAATATTCCTAATTTATTATATCTTCCTTTAATAGCTTCTACTCTAATTACTAATAATTAAAATTAAGTAATAAAGCTAAAATATAATATATTTAATTTATACCTAATAATAGTATTAAAAAATTATATTAAATTTAAAATTTAGGCTTTATTTATATAAATAGAGTTAAGGCTTTATAAAATAAATAAGCTTTAAATAATCTAGATAATAATATATATAGATATTTCTATATTATATATAATATAATAAAGAATAAAGTTTAAGAAAATTTATTATCTAATATTAATATTTTTATTATATCTAATATACTAACTAGATTAGATTAGCCAAAGTCTAAGATTAGTTAGCTTATTTATTAAAATATATTAAATATATTATAAAGATTTTTATATAATTAATAATAATAATAATTTTTATAAAATAGAAATAATCTTTAAATCTAATATTAAGAGGGTTTTTATAAAAGTAGAAGTTAAATATAGAAAATTAAAAAAATATATTTTAAAATAAGAATTATTAAAATTACTAATAAATTTATATATAAAGTATTTAAATATCTGATATTTAAATAAAGATTAAATTATAATAAGTAATATTATAATATTATATATATATATATAAATTATTTAAGTATAAATAAATAATTAGAATATTTAAAATAATATATTTTAAGATAAAATTACTAAAATTATTTAAAAATTAATATATAAAATATTTAATTATAGATATTTAAATATCTAATCTTTAAATAAGGATTAAATTATAATAAGTAATATTATAATAATATAATAATAATTATATATATATATATATATATATAAGTTATTAAATATAAATAAATAATTAAAATATTTAAATATTAATCTTTAAATAAAAATTAAATTATAATAAATAATATTATAATTATATAAAATATTTATAAAATTAATATAATATTTAATATAAAGATAGAAGTTTTAATAATAAATTATTATTAATATTAAATTATCTTTATTTTTATAGTAATATAAGTATTATTAATTAAAAATTAAATTAAAATATTACTTTATTAATTTAATTAGTAAATAATTTTTTTATAATTTAAGATTAGAAATTTAAATTTTAAAAGAAATATTTAAAAATAATTATCTTTAAATATAAGATTTTTAAAATTAATATTATTTAATAATATAAATATATTTTTTAATATAAAGATTATTTATACTAGTAAATAAAATATTAGTATAAAATATAATCTTTTATAATTATAATAAAAAAATTTAAAATATATTTTTTTATACTAGTCTTTAAAATTTTAGTTAAGATTATAATAAAGTCTTTAACTATACCTAAGATATTAATAAGGTAAGATAAGAATTATAATTCTAAATAATTAGAATTTTTCTATAATAATTAAATTTAATAAATAAAATATTTATAATCTATAAATATAATTTATATATTTTTTTAGGATTAATACTAATTTAAGAATATATAATTATAATAAATATAATAAAATATTAAACTTTAAATATATAAAAAATTAGAATATATAATAAGATATTTAATATTAAAAAAATATTTATTTTAATTTATATATTATATATTATTATTAAAGATTAATAATTTAGAATAAAAATAAAATATAAATATATTTACTAATAATTATAATTCTAAAAGAATAAAAATAATTTTTAATATTAAAATTATATAATTAATATAAATATTAATAATAAATATTATTATTTTAATATAATATAGGAAAGCTAGAAATTAAATATATATTATAATAAATTAACTAGATAATATTAATAGAATATAATAAATAATAATAAAAGATTAGAAAAATTAGTAAATTATATATAATAAAAAAAAATTTAATCTCTTATTAAAAAATATATATAAATTTTAGATTCTTAAGTAATAAATACTTTATTAATCTTTTTATAATTAAATTAAAAAATAAATTATATAATAAAAAAATTAAAGAATTTTTAATATAAAGAATCTTTAGAATATAAATAAATAAAATTAATATAATATTTTATTTAAATTAATAATAAAAAAATAAATATAAATATATTTTTTATAATTCTTAAATAAAGATTAAATTTAACTTTCTTCTTTTAATATAGTTTCTAAAAAAGATAAACTTAAGAAAATAAAAATAAGACCTATTCTTAATTTTTTAGCTCTAGCTCTAGCTCTAGCTATAATTTTATTTATTATTTTTATTAGTACTAATAAACTTATTAAAAATAATATAATAAAAAATCTTAATAAATATTTTTTAAATATACTGTTTTTAATATTTAATATTTAAAAATTAAGTAACTTACTGAATAATATTATATTATTATTTTAAGTTATATTAAAATATTTAAAATAAATTTTAAAATAAGAATTAAAAGATTTACTATTAAGAATAAATTATTTATTACTCTTATTATTATAAATTTTATAAAATATTTAAAAATAGCTTATAAAAATATTTTTATAAATAATACTTTAATTACTTTTAAATTAAAGATATTTATTTTAAAGAATAAATAATAAAATTAATTTATTATTATTAATTAATCTATATTTAATCTTACTAGACTTATTTTATAAGCAGGCTAATATTATTATTTTATATTAATTAAAATATTCTATAACTAGATATAGGTAGTAATTAATAAAGATATTAATAATAATAGCAAGCTAATTTTAACTTAATTAAATATTATAAGTCTAAATCTCTTATTAAAAGATTTAATTATATATATTAAGATATTTTACATTAAGAATTTAAATCTAGTATTATATTTAGAAAAACTAACTAGATAGTATAATAAATTATTCCTATATTAGGAAAGTATAAAAAATATTAAAAAATATTAAAAATAGTATCTTATTATCTTATATTTTTTAATAAGTATTATTAATTAAAAATTTTTAAATTTATTATCTAATATACTAGCTTATACTTAGCTAGATATCTTATATATTGTAATAATATTAATAATTCAATATATAAAACTTATATTAAGAAACTTTATTTCTTAATTAATTTTATTACTAATAATTAATAAGATTCTTAAATTTTATATAATAATTAGAACTATATAATTATAATATTTAATTATAAATAAAATTTATAATTAAAATAGAGATATTTAGTACTATACTTATGTCAGGGGACAGAGTCGGATTCAGATATTCATTGACTAGGAGCTAACTAGACAGAATAGCAGAATAGTAGGTATTAGGTAATAGACAGGACATAGCTTGAAGAGCTATAATAAGATTAAGGATAATATAGCTTAAATATAGGAATAAGAATAGATAGTTAAGGTAGAATCTAACTAGATAGATATTATAGCTTTATACTATAATAGTATCCCCCTTCTTAAGATTAAGCTCTATTAAGACTAGGGAGGAATTAGCTAGGGTTTCTTAGAATAATAAAAGTAATAATTATTTACTAGTTAATAAATATTTTCTAAATACTTAATAAATTCTTTAGTTAGTTTATTATATCTAATTTATTTAATAGTATATTATAATTTAAATTTACTATAGTTTTAATAAATTTATTAAGAATTAAGAACTTTCTTAACTTCCTATTTTTTTAATTCTTCTACTTTAATAAGTAGTAATAGATTAGGATATTAATTAAATAAAGAATTATTAATAATAAGGTAGAGTAAAAATATATTAAATATAAAATAAATTTTTATATTTTTAAGTAATTTAAATTTATAAATATATAAATTAATAATTTTTTTAATATAATATAGTTTAAAATTCTTCTAGTCTAATTTCTTTTATAAGTAGAATATTTAGATATTATAGATATTTAACTAGATTTCTTATCTTATAATATAGT